TTTAAAGAGCATCATTTGTTGGGAGGGCCATTTTTTCCTTTCTGGGGAACATTAGGAATTCTAACCTGACCATTTAAGTATTCCAGTAGATTCAGACTTGCTTTCATGGTTTACATTCAGAAAAATCAATAAGAAGTAATTTCTATTTTTTCATGACTCTGATTTCTCCAAAAAGATGAAGAATTTCCGTTCTTTAGTTTAAAAAAAAAAAAAAAAAAAAAGATTTCTGTCATCTAGAAAAAACTGAAAACATCCAGAAAGAAAGACAGAATCTGTATTTTCTGTATAAAAAAATCAGCCATGTTAGCTGTAAGCTTAAGAAAAATATTCTCTGGTAAGAAAGTAAACAACAGACAGAATTATTTCTTCAGAACTCCATGACATCACTGTTCAATCATTGCATTGGTTATTTTAATTTGGCCATTCAATTTGTGATAGAATGTAGTTTTTATAGTATATTCCACAGGTAGAAAAATGTTGTGTGTTTGCTAATATATTCCACTAACGATCTTCAGTTTGTGTCCTTGACCTTTCGCGTAGCCTCAGAATTGCACATGATGCTGGCCTTATTTCCTAAAGGCACTGAGAACGACTAAATTATGTTTGGTTTTGGAATAGTACTCGGCTTGAGATAAAGGTTTTGAGAAAAAGACTTAGTGCTCTCCACACACTGCACTTCTCCTAGCTTTCCTTTCAATGCAGGTATTTCAAGTGGAGGGAGATCTGAGTGGTTGAGGGAACAGTGTATATTTCTTCATGGAAATACCATGCAAGGTCAACTGTTATTTCTCCCAATACCTCTGTTAAGCCTGACTTTTATATCTTTTTTACCCTTTGTCAGCTTATCATGTGAAACAACGGACCAAGGACACATTCTAATGAACAGATACATGGAATGGCAGTTCAAATACAATATTCAATCATCTTTTATTGAAGACAAATATTTGTCTTTTCTTAGATTGTTGCAAATTAAAACTCAAAGTGCTAATTTAAATTAATTTCACTAACCAAATCAATACACAGACAGAAGTATATACTTCCTGGAGGTGATCTTACTTGAGGGTTCCAGGACTGAATTTTTTCATCAGACCAGGTCTAACCTTGGACACAACTCTTCATGCCTGGAGTCGGGGACATGGAATGCCTCTAATCACACTGGCCAGGTCTTTGCTTGTTTATTTACCACTTATTTATTGCAGGTTTATCTGCTGCTATTGAAAAGATCATCATTAATTGGAGAAACTTGCTTTCTCTTTGCTACTGCCAGTAAATCTAATTATACACAAAAAATTCTTAAGCAGCTGAAATTTTTGTCTTCAGGAATTAATAGTCTGCCTAAGAAAAAATAAGCAATAACTAGCAAAAAGAAAACAAAAGGCATCCAAAAAGCTGAAAGAAGGGGATGGACGTGACAAAGAGTGGTGAAGCAGTCATGCACGCATGCTCTCCTTCTGGAGCAGGTCCTACTAATGCATGTGTTAATTTGGATGAGAAGCAGCAGACCAGGGGCAGGATGGGAGTTGGGATGAAAACGTGTTTACCGTCAAGCATGTATTTTGATTTAAAAAAGAAGCTATATTTGAAGATTACACACCTAGAATACGTTACTTTTCAAATGTCAAGCCCTAATCCTGTGAGAAATTATGCTCGTTACTAAGAGTTGTTTTCTATAATCAGTTCAGGAACTAAAATGGAAAGAACATTGCATTCTGAGTTTAAATATTTTTAGTCTTCTCATGCTGCCTTTTAAAAGTCTTAATGGGGAGCCTATGATGTTACATTCTGATATTTCTTCACGATTACTGCAGGCAGTATCTGCAGAGTCTCAGGAGCAAACTGTCTGTAGCTAAGTACTGACATTTCATCTTCTATTAAATGCTAAGATCTGCATCATGTCATTTTTTCTATTCCAAGGGAATTTAGAAAATGCAGCGTATGTGAGCCTTTGTTTGAAAGGATGACTTTATAATGTAATTATGTAAAACACTGAAACAGGACTTGAAGGTATACTATATAAGTTTGTGGATGACACTACATTGGGAGGAGCTGTTGACTCATTTCAGAGTAGAGAGGCCACAAAGAAAGGTCTTGACAAACTGGAGTGCTGGGCAGTCACCAACTGCGTGAAGTTTCACAAGAACAAGTATATGAACCTGTACCTGGGATGGGACAAGCCTGGCTGTATGTACAAACTAGGATGAGAGGCTGGAGGATGGAGGCTTTCTCCTGTGGAAAGGCATCTGGGGATTCTGCTTGATGGCAAGTTGAATCTTTGTCAGCAGTGTGCCCTGGCACTGTCTGCTGTCTGTGTGGGTTCTGCAAGACATCTGGACTAAGCAGAGAAGGATATTTATGTCTGGGATTGTAGCATTTGGCTCGTTCTTCTCAGGAGGGGCTGTGGGCGAGAAAGGTAAATTGTTTTATGATGGAACTATGTAAGCTTATGAAAGCGTAGGATTTTTGTTCTGTCGCGGTGATAGAAAATCAATCTTAGATATTGGGTGTGGAGTCCTTCCCAAGCTGTGTGCGTAGAAAGTTTTGAAGGAGATTTGAATTTCCTTTTTCCCATGTCTTGTTCGTATTGTATAAATTGTAAGCAATAAAACTTTCTCTGATTGCCTTAAGACACTGGAAAAAATGTTGTCCTCAGTCATGCACTTGCTCTGCACATACATATACACTCCCAGTATATATTCTGTCTGGAGCTGTACCTTTGTGTATATGTATATTCATAGGAACCCTGTTCCATTATCACAGCCGGTGAGAGTGCAGGGTTAGGTGCTCTGAAGTTCTTGCATTTAAAATCTGTTTGCCACCAATTAGGTTTTTATATTTGGAGTGGAAAGAAGACCGTTAAGTCTTTTGCTGTTCTCTCATATGGGACGTGAGGCATATTTAGGGTTATCAGCCAGTTTATTTGACAATGTTTTCACTTCGGGAGAGACCAAGATTCTGATGATGCCTTTGCTTGTTCTTGTTTATCAATGGTGGTATACTGTAGCCTTTTTTTGAGTGTTTTCGTTTAGTGTTGGATGTTAGGACGGATTTTGCATGGGCAGTGACAGTGCTCCATGACCTTTCAAACATTTACCGATATTTACTTGTAGTTCTTTGGGACTGGGCTTTATTGGGCAGTCTTACGCCATGATTTTATGAAGGACGGAACCATGGAATAACACCTCAGTAGCTTTACAATGCAAGGAGCTTTGAATATTACAGCACTTGTATGGAGCTTACATACTTGGAGATTTCACAGAAAATCCAATGAGAATTGAATTGCATTCTTCAGCACATCCCTGTACAACAGATACCTGTACTTGCAGAGTCTAAGTTTTATTAAGTAATCCAGATGGTTAATTAGAATGAAGCATGTTCTGAATGGGTTTGGGCATTTTTACTTTTGTTTTTAATATCAATTAGCTCTCCTGACATAAATTAAACTTGAGTTAATTAACTACAAATTAGGAATTGACATAAACAGAGTAGACAGCTTTGTCTAAAGTAGCCAGTGGATAGTTTTGTTTGTATTTTAGGGTGACTGTTATGAATCTTAATGAAAGCAAATTAAAAAATGGAGTTACTTCCCCTTGCTGAAAAGCAGTCTGGAAACGTGCACTATGTTTAAGTGTGCGCTTGCCACTAAACTGTTGGTTTTGTATCTTTGACATTCTTTAAATCACTGGATTGCGGTTATTTTAAGGAATGGATTTTCAGTGTTTTTGTTCTTTCAACAACATTTAGAGACAAAATGGCATACTTTTTTCCAAGTCATTAAATTCCTAAATTGTTCCTTAGAGCTTATGAAAAAACAATATGTATTTTTTTGAGAATAAGGTGTTGCCTTGGAGATTGTGGATTTTCTTTCCTTTTTTCTTTTTTCTTTTTCTTTCTTTCTTTTTTTTTTTTTTTTTGTACATTTGTTTTTTGAGGGAAAGTGTTTTAATTCTTTATAGAATAAACTAAAAGCTACTGAGTGAGTAAAAAGACAGACAGCATTTCTAAATGCTTTTTAGAAACTGTTGTAATTGTAGGCATATACTTCAGCTTAGCCTGTTAATTAATGTCCATGCCAGAGTAGTGTCTGTATCATTGCTCTGAGATTGGCAATAGCAGATGCCTGCAGACTATAATAAGAGCAGGGAAAGAATCCAATGAGACTTCCCAAATTTTTGCCATGCTTCGTGCAAATTATACTTCAGGAGTGTAATAGAAGAAGAGGTGGCATATAGTCGCTCTGGGTGAACCAAAGGTTTGTTCTGAGCTTGAGCTTTGAAGATGACAAGGAGACTTACGCTGAGAAGCTTCACACAGGCTGTTTATTAAGTGAAAAGACAAAGTCCAAAAGTTCCAACAAAGAAATAAAGTCTCAGAACTAATGGGAGTAAAGAGTCTGTAAGTCTAATGATAATGATCGTTATTCTTCGTATTTGCTAACCAGTCACGTTCTGTGAAGTGAACATCAAGATAAAGCAAAGTTAATATACTGTATTTGGTCCATACTGTTGTTGTTGTCTGCTAGTTAAAGGAGATGAGTATACACTTACAATATGGAGACCAGATATTTCTACTTTTCTGTTGTTGTTCAGTGTCAGTCTGAAGTCAAAAATTCTTTCTCATTTAATTACAAAGGTAATGTAGTGATGAATATTTTTAAAAGAGTGGAAGAGCTTATCATTTAAACATCTATAAACTCTTCTAAGCAAAAATAAGCTCTTCATTTTCTCTGTGTTAAATGTCGAATGAGGAATTATGTCCATCTGACTTTGTTCTCTACTAAGTTTTTTTATAAAGGGTTAAGGAAGAAAAGCAACTTAGGGATGCAGTCATTTGATTCCCTTTTTTTTCTAAAGGTAACAGAATAGGTGTGTTAGGAAGGCAAATTCAAGTTCTTGATGGCATAAAAACGTTGCTATCATTTCTGTGATTTTAATTGTACTGTTGAAATGCACAATAATGACACATACTAATTACTACTAAGTAATTTACTTCTATTTCTCCAGACACTGGAAGCCATCCTGAATTTTAAATACTCTGGTGGACCAGGACACATTGAAGGATATTACCGGAACCTTTCACTGGGTCTTCACGTAGAAGTAGAGCCTTCTGTTTTCTTTACACGTGTCAGCACCCTTCCAGCAACCAGGTGAACCTTATTTTGATACCTGTACTTGTGACTCATTGTTAATATTGACTGTAAACTAAAAAGCATTCTCAAAACTTTCAGTAGTCACCAGCAAAGAATTCTATGAACTAGTTTTCAAAATACTTCCACTTTAGGAATTTAACCTTATTTCATTGCAGACTATGATTAAAGCAATCCATGTTCACTGGAAAATTTCTGAGTTTCAAATGTTATTTCAGTAAGGTTTATTATTAGTTTATTCTAATTAGAGAATCATAGAATGGCCTGGGTTGAAAAGGACCACAGTGATCATCGAGTTTCAACTCCCCTGCTATGTGCAGGGTCACCAACCACCAGACCAGGCTGCTCAGAGCCACATCCAGCCTGGCCTTGAATGCCTCCAGGGATGGGGCATCCACAACCTCCTTCCACATCCACAGCAGGCAACCTGTTCCAGTGTGTCACCACCCTCTGAGTGAAAAACTTCCTCCTAATATCTAACCTAGACCTCCCCTGTCTCAGTTTAAACCATTCCCCCTTGTCCTGTCACTGTCCACCCTCATGAACAGCCATTCCCCTGAGTATGTCCTGCTTATTATAATACTTCTTTCTGTATCTCTTCACTGTTGTGATATATTCTTCATTACATTGTTTTGTGTTTACCTAGCATAGTCTTACCAAAAATGTATGCGTTGATGATTGTCTTTGAATATAAGGAATAAATTGTAAACATTCTCTCCTTCAGTGCTGTCATTAGTGACAGAATGGTTTCCCATGTGCCAGTGAGTTTCAAAAATCAGAGCAGCACCTGATGGTTGTCAAATGCCATAATTATTAAAATTTGATTTATCAACAGCTGAGTGCAATTAGTTGTAGTAAGTAATTATTTGCTGTAAATTGTCTTTATTTGATACTAAATGTACATTTCACATTCTGTATATTTTTACTAATTACTGCTTTTTATTCTGCTTAAGGAAAGCAGTTTTTACAAGAACGTATTCTGTAATGTAATGATTTTACTGATTCTTAATCAATTAATTACATGTTCACGTGTAAATTCACCTATACCAGTCATTAAATACTCTAGCATGTTTAAATCTTTGGGATACATTAAATTTCTGGAAGTTCCAGAGGTGGCCGTTGAATATCTCTCACCAAAAAGTGAGTAACCATGCTTGGCTTTGTTGGAAAGAGAGACTGAAGGTGGCTTTGCTTTCAGTGCATAATTACTTCTGAGGCACAAATACAAAGAAGTAGGAAATGTTTTTTATACAGTTGTTACAAAGTGAATAGAAATGGAATGAAGCAATGGGCAGTGGTCATGGCAGCCCATGGCAGTGGTCATGGCCCTAAGCTGCTGGAGTTCAAGGAGTGTTTGGGCAGTGCTCAGAGATGTGTCTTGGATTTGGGGTGGTCTTGTTTGTAGCCAGGAGTTGGCCTACATGATCCCTGTTCAGCCCTTACAAACTAGGATATTCTGTAGTTCTGCTTATTTTGGAAATCCTCCTCTATTCCTCCAAAGTAGCAGGATTATTGGAAAGTGTGCCAGCATGCATTGTGGGAGCAAGCTTTTCTTTTAAGTTTGAAATTATTTTAGTGCATTTGTATAACACTGCTTAGAGAGTTGAAAGTGAACGTAATAGATCAAAAGATTCATATTGTTCCTAAGACTTTTATCAGCAAAAAGGTAGTAAAGAAAACCCAGAAGTAGAGTGGAAAGGCCTACTAGTCTATGTGATGTTGGTGCCATACTTCATTTTTCAAAGGGAAGAAATGAGTCACCACTATGGTACTATTGCAGAAATGTCCAAGGATGGATGAACCCCACCACAGCTCGCAGAGCACAAAATGTTTCTTTTCATCCTGTGAACAGAAGCAATGAAACCTTAAGAAAAGTAACTGAGCTGAATTTTCTGCAGCTCGTATTGTATGCGTTTGCTTCATTCTTTGCCTGTTCCTCACACAGATCAGTGTTTAGGTCAATGGAAAGCGGCTTGCTGATTGGAGGGGAGGTTAAATATATTACTGATTTTATTTTGAAATCCTAAGTGTTAAACTGTTCTGGGGACAAACGTTAAGATTTCTTTCAGAACTGTTGTGTTGCAGGACTTGTCCAATGGCTGTGCAAATCTGTTTTGTTACATGGGCGTACATTGCTCAGTCATGAAGCATTTTAAGTGCTTATTACCTGGCTCTCCTTGTTCCAAGTTTTAGTTTTAGTGAGTAGTAACACTTTTCGTTTACTCTTGTGCTTCCCAGTGGTAATCCCTCATCAACAGTCATGTATAATTCAGTGTTGTTTTAATAAAAGTAAAAGTAACGTCGTCTTCCAAACTACTGAGGATAAATATCTGTCATTAAATGAAAGAACGTTTGTGTCTTGATTGTTGATCATCTCTGCCAATATCTGAGGCCCAGTGAAAATCAAATTTTGTACTTTTGCTTGCTCTTTTAAAAACTTGACTCAGGTTTCCCATCGAGTTTGCAGCTGAGATTGCATTGCTTAAATTCTATTCTAGGCACTGGACTTCTTTTTGTTTAGTCATTATGTGAGGCTGTGTTTTGTAACTTACCTTCTCAGCTGTCATTTCAGAATGAAAGCTAACATTGTTTTCATTTTATGGGTGCTTTTTTTTTTTATTAAAAAAAGCCAAAACATTTTACCTCAATAAAAGTAAGAAACAGTAGCTTAATAGCTGCTGGGCTTAAAATCAGAGTGAAATATAAAACTCTAAACATTGATTCTTCCCTTAGGTCTTTACTGGAAAATAAAACAAACAAACAAACAAACAAAACCTGGGAAACTGTTAATGAAATCACTTCCTCCCCCCCCCCCCCCCCCCAGTGTAACACAAAGATTATGGTTTATGTAAAAACCTTCCAGACATAGGTGGTATTTCTTCTATTTGATCAGGCATACATGAGAGATAACAATGAAATTGCTGTTTTTTTTTGTTTTTGGTTTTTTTTTTCTCCTTCTGTGAGAGTGTGGGTTGATTTTGCTTTGTTTTTGTTTGTCTACATATCTAGCCATAATTATGCACTCATGCACAGGCTTGTGATTTATGGATAGAAGTTTCATTAGCTGCGATTTCACTGTGTGTTAAGATGCGTTCCATTCTGACAAGAGATCCTTTTAACCTTTTATCTGTGTTGGTCAGTAGCGGCACCTTGGCTTGATGCAGCCCTCGCTGTGCTACAGTGTGCGATCTGTTGCCTAATATTGATTCAGATACCAGCCCTCCTGTCAGAAGAGGTGATGTTCTGTCAGTTAGCAGCAGTACTCTGCTCCAAGGAGTTTCACTGGGTATCATCGTATGCTCACTGAGCTGCCAAGAGTACTGATGGAAAAGACTCATGCTTGGAAGTTGTTTGCCTCTGGTCGTGTCACTGTAATCCTTGATTTGCTTATTTGTCTTTGAAAGGAAATCATTATCCTGTGATTACTAATCAAAATTGTAATAAGATAGGCTCTGCGTGCAATGTAGGGTACTTTTTTTCTTTTCATCCCTTGCCGTTATGCCATCTACACAAAAGTAAATGAGAATCATCTCCAAAGGCTAGAAAGTGTGGATTTGTAGATCAAGTCTATCCATAGTGAAACCAGGATACTGCATTTCTTTTTGGGTAAGGCTTGGTCTTTCCCTTCCATTCTACAAATTCAAGATGATGAGCAAAGTAAATTTTTTAATTTTCTTAAGGCAGCCAAGTTTTCTTCTGATCTTAACACTGCCTTACAGCTTCAGCTACATGTCTTTCTTGGCAAGAATAGAGGCTGAGACTCTGTCCTTGTAGTTGAGTCAGATTGAAACAGAAAAAAGGCGACACTGCAGGTCTGACACTGTGAAGTTCAAGAAGTGCCATTTCATGTAACTGTAGGTTCATTTCCCTTCGTAGCATTAATGTATTTCATTTAATGCAGTGATGTAGTACTGCTAACAAGGCATAAATCCGTAATAATGCCTGCAGTGTGCTCCTACTCTAAGACCTATCAGTGTTTGGATCGTCAGTATACAATTTTTCCAAGGTGGGCTTCACTTACTACAGAAAAAGAATGATCTTGTTTGTGTGGAGAGTTCTCAGGAGATCCTCTGTTGGATGGGCAGAAGTTTGGACCTTAACAAAACCAGATATGATTTTCAAAATTTCAGTTCTCGTTTCCATGATTGCCCACGTTTTTGGTACAATAAATTGCAGTTTGCACCCTTCAGGAGCCAGGTTTGGGTTAGAGATTCTGCTTATCACTCACCAATGACAGAAGAGTAAATGGCATGTTTCTTCTCATGTTCTAACAAATGTTTTGGTTACACAGTAGAAAAGCTATTCAGTATTTTTTGAAACAATTCTTGCACTTTTGGAACTGAATTTTTAAGTAAGTGTTCTTACTTAATACATTAATACATTTAGAATGAGAGTCAGCTACCTGCTGATGGGCTGCAATTTCTGACCTTACGATTTTCAACATTTCGCTCCTCAAATGCTGTAGATTTTTAAAGGGAAGGCCAGCATCTTTCAGTTGGCCACCTGAAGATCAGTCGTTGTAGTTTGTTGTGAAGAAGGCCAAGCTATAGCCTGTTTAAAATGACTTGGTATCTCCACAGTGTTCAGTTCACTCTTACATTAAAAACCAAAACAGCTGAAAAAGAAACCATGCTAATTCAATTGGTTAGACTGATTAACCATTTATAAAAACTGTCAAGGAGTGGGTTTAGTAAATTTTTCTTTTGTATTCTCGAGACTGGATGTCTTTCTAGACTACATTCTTTATTTAACTTCACACAATTGAGCTGATGATATATTTTAATGAGTAAGAACCCATGACACATAGATGTTTAGGTCCAGTGGTTAGATCATCTTGCTAACCCTAAACTCTGCTAAATATACATGTTGCAGTGAGTTCATGGAAGTGCAGCAGATAGTAGCTTACAGATTGGGAGCACTGATTTTTGAGATCAAAATGTTAAATATGTAGAGTTTGGCAAATGAAGGTGTGAGAACATAAATCTACAAGTATTTATAGA